TTGAAGTAAGCTTATTTTTAGAATATACATATTTAATGGTTTCAATAGTAAAAAAATCTTCAAAGGACGCTTTATTTTTAACAAAACTGGATGCTAGTTTAAGAAGAACATCTGCATTAGTAAGTCTAATCCACGTAAAAGTTTTTCACATTGCTAACCCTGTTTTGTTGAGAACTATTCTATGTTCATGTTCAATTTATTGAAGAAGCTTCATTTCTTTTAATAACTACTTCAGGTAATATTGATAATGAGTAATTTTGGAGCATGCTTCCAGGAAGAGCTGTGTAAAATGTTTTCTTTGTAACCGTACCAGAAACAAAAAATTATGTCTGTTACCGTTATGAAGTAACTATTAGCTTGGATTGTATTGCTTCTGAAATATAAAGGACTGAAAAACACAACAAATAAAAGGTATCTTTAAATTATCATAATGAAACTAATAAAAGACGTGTTAGGTCTTTTATGGGTCTAAGCACATTTTGGAAAATTCTTTCACGAAATGCTGAATATCTTAATTTTGAAAGTGCTTTCGAAGGTCACTGTTTTCGCAGAAGCTTTGACACTCATTTTGCAAACAATTTAAGAGATTTCTTGTTTCTAAAAGGACATAGAGTTATGTGTGTAAAAAACTTTCTATAACAGGAACATTATTGCAGATAAACTAATGAACTGAATCTTTAAATGTTATAAAATATTTTTCAATCACAAATCTATCAATTTAAATGTTCAACTGCCAAAAAAAAAAATATTTGTAGAAGTTGTGGATCACTTAAATCTAAAAAAATTATTAACTAATTATGGAAAACACCAAACCACAGTCTTTGAACTCATGCAAAGAGCTCTTAGGCTGACAGAAATGTGGTGCGTTAGGGAAAACCTCTTGGTAAACCCTGACAAGACGCAACTCATAACCTTTACTCGAAAAACAAGGTTGGAGGTTTTAGGAAGGCTAAACAAAACGAACCAAGTAAAATATCTGGGTCTAATCCTAGATAACAAACTTACTTGGTCCACTAGCTATATTTGGAAATTACAAGACCCATGATAACTTATGGAGCGGTTGTTTGGTGGCCAAAAGTAAACCAGAAAACAACCCTCAATACCTTCTCAGGAGTTCAGAGGCTGGCATGCCTTTGTATTACAGGAGCACTGAGAAGTTCACCGACAGCATCTATAAAAATTATTCTAAACCTCCCACCCCTTCACCTAGTCATAAAGGGGGAGGCCAGAATGAGTGCATAAAGACTGGAAATCTCCAATAACTGGAACCCACTGGGACATATAAAACATATCAGAATAACACATGAAGTAAATGATTCTATATTAAATATGGGATCAGATCACATGACTCTTCCAGGTCAACTGCAACTGGAACGAGGTGAATAAGGAGATAGATAAATGATCCCACTACGTGTAGACACAGGACTATTCCAAAGATAGTACCTAAATACGGGGAAAGCAGGGGAATACAATAGACCCAAGAGGCCGCAGTGTTCTGGGCCAAACCTAACCCTACCTGCTTATAACAGACGAAGTTAAAGATACAAAAATATGGTTTCAGTTTTTTCAGTTTCGGTTGTAAGATATTACAGTTTTTTTATTGGTATTACACCTAATTTAATATGTAACAATTTAAACGTATCAAATAAGACTTGGGATTTTAAAAAAAGTCTTTTAGTAGTAGGAAATTACTTTTTTAATATATTGAAAAGCTGAAATTTGTATTTAAAGCACATCTTGGCTAAACCAATTCTGATTAATGAGCACTTGCGACGTAATATGGCCAGCTTTGAGCAATCTTAATAACTATTTATATCATTGATTGTACCAAAGCCTGTCGGCATCCATATTGACGTCTAATTGGTTATCTTTTCTTTGATCACTCTTTGTTATAACTAAACCTTGTTACCAGACAGAAGATATTTTCAATGCAGTTTATTTTGACAATAAAATTTTAACGTTTAATTAAACAGTTCCCCTTTTTATAATTAATGGCGATGCCGTCTTTGATGTTAACAATTACATTTACACGATTCTCGGAATGGCCATTAAATGAAAGGTTCGTTGTAAATTCTTATCAAATCAATCTATATGTATGTGTACAACAAACACTTTCACGATTACATTTTATTAGTGTCAAAAGTCACTCGCTGGGCTTAATTGGGTAGAAATTTAAATTTCTTAGCTTGATTAGTGTTTGACTCGTATTAATGTAGAGGTTATGAGGGCCCAGGTCAATTGTTATGTTTACGTAACATATTTAACGTTACCGTTCACATAGTCGCAAAGCAACTTACATAGGCGCGTGTAGGAGAAACCAAACGGGTTAAATAACAGAATCACATCCAACTGATATATTTAACTAGGAAGAAAAACGTGTATTTTAAAGTGTGTAATAATATTTAATTTATTTTGTTTGTATGTTTTCAAAGCTTTTGTCATTGACTCTATTAAAGGTTTGTTTTCCAACTTTATATAAAGTGTTAGGTTATTTTTGCTGAATAACTGTTTAAAGAAGTCATATGAAGAAAAAAGAAGAACAATCAAGAGACGGAAGGAAACGGGGGGAATCTAGAAAGTCTATTGAAAAAATATTGTTTTTAAATGATAACTGTGAATATAAAGGCATAAATAAAAGTCTTAGATGAGATAGGTTTATTTTTTAAATTATAGTAAAGCTCAAACATTGCTTTTTTAAAGCCTGTTTAAATTTTCAATACATTCAGAGTGACTGACAAATTTGTGTGTGTTATTTTACCGCCATTATTGCTTTAATCGCATCTTTAACGAAAATTTGAGTACACATATTATTTTAGCTACGCTCATGCCGTCGATGAGCAATTGTTTTGTCCTCCCAGTCACAGCTGTGTCAAAAATTGCCCCTTATTAATAAACGACGGCTTTTTTCACTTAACCTTTCTTGTTGAAATAATTAACGCAAACCTATTATTTGAACGAAGAACATTCCGGCAGCAATAATTTTTTCTCGTGCGACCTCAGACTTTGCACTGAGTCACAATTAAAATATGCGATATCTTTGCCAAGCGATTTTATTTATATGGGAGTATACACCTCAGTAAACCTGGAAATGTTTACCGACAGATTTTTATAGAAAAATAACATTTATTATGAATCTTTTAGAAGTTAGTATAGGAACATTTCTTTATTTTGTTTCTTTTTTCATTATTTTTGTTTTTTATTTGATAGAAGGCTTGTTTTGATTATTTCACGAACTAGTTCATCTCAATAGGTTGATTATTATCGTGATCTATTCTTGACAAATGTATTCGTCAACTGTATTTGAACCAAAACAAATCCAGCTTCTTTGGCTTCAAAAAATCGAGGGACTAGCTATTACAAGGAGGGGATGGACGTAGAGGCAGATTAAGATAATCAGCGGAAATGATGAAATCAACTAACGTTGCACCTTACCAATGGCATTCAAGTATAGCCCATCTACATTAAAATTGGCAAGCTTCTAGTGTTAATGCATAAAATAAAAAAGCGGCAGTTTGAACAAGTAAGTATTTGTAGTTTCACCTTAAACAGCAATTGTCTCATCGCATACCGTTCAATACATCTCTATATAGATACCAAAAATGAACATTTTCACTTTCATTAGTTCTTTGTCAATAAACATGAACAGTAATTAGTACGTATGAACAAAAACTTAATAAGAATTTATAAATAAAACAATGCTACAAGAATGGAACTCAATAGGATACATTTTGAAGAGTGAGGAGGGATCAGGACCACAGTTCAAGAAGGGATATTTCCATAACGGAGCTCTCTCTTCTTGATTTGTGCCAATGAGACCGCTAAAACCTGGCTCTCCGAAATAATCCCCCAGCTCCAACCATGGCAGGGAGCACAACTTATGGTGGGACCCTCTAGCAAGATCGTCCGAACCAACAAAGTTGTGGCCTGGGTACCCAAACCCATGCAGAACATGGAAACATCAAAGGTACTTGCGTTCCTCAAAACCCAAAACCAAGGGCTCCAAACGGAACAGTGGCAAGTCATTCACAGGCAAGTGGAAGACAACGGTCAAACCATTGTACTGTTGATTGACGACGACTCTCTGAAAGCTTTAGAAAACCTGCAGTTAAAACCCTATCTGGGCCTAACTCAGGTAATTTTCAGAGTGCAAAGGGAGAGGAAGGAAGAACCTTCAGATGTTCAGAATAGTGCAAGCTAATCTGAGACACTGCAAGGCCGCCTCCGCAACCCTTGCACTTACCATTATCAGGGAGGACATAGACGTAGCCCTAATACAAGAACCCTAGATCTACAAAGGGCATGTAAAATTTAAGAATAGTGTAACAAGGTAGTTATAATAAATAGTAAGTCACTATTTTTAATCGCATTTTCTTCCTCCACTGGCCTGTATCCAGATAAGTGTTATGTAATAATTGGTATTGGTACTTATTATATGTATTTAGTTGAAGAAAACACTTTAGACTATTATTTCCTTTTATTCTAGAACCCATTTTCAAGATACAAGACAAGAGGCTTTTCTATGTTGACATCTGACAAAACGACAACCCTTTTGACATTTGACAATCAAGCATCCAACTTAATATTAAGGTACGTTCACAATAATAAAAAAGATATGTATGCAGAAACTAAATATGGTTCATCCTAAGTGATAACTACACATAATGAGATCAGTAGAGTATTTATAAAAGTTAGAGATACGTATTTGAATAACGTTCTTTTTTATTTTTAACTTTTTGAATCAAATTTGGAATAACGTTAGAGTTATGACTACAATTATTGTAAACAATTTATGTTTAGTTCTTTGTTGTATTCTGTAGATGTCAGGGGAAGGTTAGCCATTTTAGGCTGGTGGCAGTAAAGGTATATATAACATGGTCAGTGTCTGTCCGTTCTTTGTAAACACTAGTTAGATTTGTTGATATTTAAGTATAACAAATTCAATACATTTTCCTGTTAGAGTTCCTGAATAAATATTATATTAGAATTGATCTAAAACTCACCACTTGTGCGTTGGGTGAATGCAGCAACTCATGCTTCTCCAACTGATCCTTGGAACTAAAGGTAGTCGTGCACTGCGAACACCCAAAAGGACCTGTGCAGCCGAGATTCGGCGTAGGGGAAATTGAACTAGGAGCTGTCAAACATCCGGCTTCCGAAAGGCTGCTCGGATCCATATGAGCGCATTCCATGTGCTCTTTGAGCGCTTGGAACGTCTGACAACCTTTCTGGCATTGCGGACATTTGATGAAGTATTCTGGAGTGGTGGGAGTGAGATCTTCTTCTTTTATTGCACCGTTTGTGAGTGGGGAGGCTGGAAAGAAAAAACAAGATAAGGATTTCGGATTTTTAAGTTATTTAAGAGACTAAATAAAAGCAATAATTAAAGTATTAAACATTAATGGCTATAAAATAAAGAAAGAAATTTATTTTATCTAAAAGGCAAAACAATTATATTCAGTAATAGAATAAGGTTAGATTATAGGTGTACATAAATAATGATTAAAAGTAATTTATTTTAGCAAAATTCTATTAAATACAAAACATAATTAAAATTAGAAATGTTTACAATTATTAATAAAAAAAAAACAAAATAAAAAGTTATTGATGTATTTGTTTTTACTTTCCTATCTGTATACAGGTTTTTTTTGACCTCGAGTTTTCGACGGTTTTTTACGTTTTGGGGTCCCCTGAATCCGTTTTGACTATTTTCGCGATTATATCTGTGTGTGTGTCTGTATCCTCGATAACCCATGAACGGATACAAAGAAAAACACCAAATTTTAAATTTAAGCTTTACTCCGGCCTCCAATGAACGTTAGATTTTGGGCAGAGTCGGAACATCTGGCGGGAACTTTATAGGTGGTCATTTTTATATTTTATGGAATATATCTGTTATTTACGTTTGGAGAAGAAAATTTTTTAAATAAAAGTTATTTACAATATTATTATCTATAATTTTGGTTTTATACAAAATTTTCCTAAAATGGTCCGTATTCGAGAAATTTGACAAAATATAAAAAAAAAATTTTATGAAAATTGTTCAAATAAAAGTTGTTTGTAATATAATTCTATATAATTTTTATCCAATACATAATTTCTCTAGAATACACCGTATTCGAGATATTTGGGAAAATGTGTAAATTTCTAATTTTGAATAAAACTCAAAACCGGATTAAGGAAAAAACATTAAATTTTAAACTTAAGTTTTATTTCGGCCTGAGGTGAAATGATTAGATTTTGAACAAAGTCGGAACATCTGGGGGTACTTTATGGGGGGCCGTTTTTATATTTTATGAAATATAACTGTAATTTATGTTTGGAGAAGAAAATTGTTAAAATAAAAGTAACTTATAATATTATTATCTGTAATTTTTTTTATACAAAATTTTTCTAAAATGGTCCGTATTCGAGAAATTTGACAAAATGGTAAAAAAATTCAAATTTTTATGAAAATTGTTTAAATAAAAGTTATTTGTGATATCGATCTCTATAATTTTTTTTTACATGATTTTTCTAAAATGGACCGTAATGGAAAAATTGGAGGAAAAGTATAAAATTTTAATTTTTGAGCATTTTCGTTGGCAATGAGTGTATATAGAAAAATGTTCCGAGTTAGATGTATGTGGAAAATGTATATATTAAGTTAACCTCTAAATATTTGCAGAGATGCTACAATAGATTGTTCAAAATAACCGGAAAAAGCTTATAATAACTAGATAGAAAAGTCATGTGTTGGAAACATCAGATTTTTAATATAAATCTTATACAACGATTTTGAAAAATGTTTGTAAATTAGTATCATTACATATAAATAATATTGATGTACAATAGTCAAAAAAGAGTTATATATTACTTGTCTTGTATTTAAATATAAGATTTGAGTTACATGGTAGGCAAAACCTAATATTTTAATCTATGTTGGTTCCAAAGCGTTTATTAATAACTAGATATAAGCAAGTATCAATAGCAAAAAGTCGCTTTTGAAATCATTTAAAAAATATCATTAATGTATATTATTAACAGAAGAGGCCCCAATACACTACCTTTGGGTACTCGAGTTTTAACGCAAAGTTTTTCAGAATGTGTTTTCTAGTTTCTTTATTTGAATAGAATTGAAAACACAGGAACTAGGAGGGATATTTTGTTTTGGATATGTGTGCCTTCGGTGCCTCTAGGAGATACTACACAAAGATTATTTATCAGAAGAGGCCAAAATACAATATTTAAATTTAGTTAACATATTTCTTTATAAATATGATATTAAATATGGTTTATTAGGCAGGAAATACATGTAGGATATTTTTTATGATACTATAATTAACGTTATCTTAATTTATTCATGAATAACATTTTTATTTTAGCGAATAATAACGTGTCATTTGGATTCCCACAGTAATATATTTAAAAGCGGACACTAGGTATTTTATTAGCCAGAAGAGTTGTTTTACAGTCCTCAAATTCCACTTGGAAGCATTCCAATTCTTTGAGCTTTGTTCTTTCTAGTTATACAAAAAGTGAGCATGTCTATAAAAAGAGAAATGCGTTTTCATTCTAGGACAGAAAACAATTAATACAATTGCAATTAAAAATAAAATTACAATACACGTATATGGTTTTAGTATTAGGATAACTCAATCAACATAGTCTTAAGAAAAAAGAAGAATGACACGTGACATTTTTACGACAGATTTCGCCTTAAGCATAATATAATCTGATCCTCTTATACATTTTTATATCATAATTTTAACAAACTAATCAATTCCCTTCGTCTAGTCATTTGTAAAAAAACCACCCTTGAAATGAATCACGCCAACCACTCTCCTTAAAGTTCATCTTCGCACAAAGATCTTTTTTCTTGCCTCGATGACGTTATTCTCGGCAACCGGTATAAGAAATCTCCCCAAATGTCACCTCACACACACAAATAGCTATGAGGTATAAACAGATCGATGATTCGTCAGTAGAAAAACTCATCGTTCATTTATTTCAGTCGGTAACCCGAAACCTTGAAAACACGTTGGAGTTTTAGGGGGTGGACCAGTTCGCTCTTTAGATTTAATGTGTTTATTATTATGAAAACGAGGACAAAGAAATTCGATGACGTGGCAACGTTATAAACGTGACTTATCGTGAAGTACCGGTAATTAATGAAATATTAAGTAAAAAATGTTATCAGATACAAGGCGGTGAAACTTAACGAAAATATTTATGAAAATAATCATGGTTACATCATCGTCATTTTAGAGATAGGCGGGAATTCATTAAAACACCGTTTGTGCTGCGTTTAGCAAATATATATCAAATATCCATTTGTGAATATGCATCTAAAGGCGGGTACAGATCTGAGAACGTACGCGGATGAGGCAAACCGAGGACGCATGAGCATGCAGATGTGGACAGGCTTCCAAGGCGCGGCAAATTGCCTCGTTGTGTGCGCCGTACAGCCTCACCCCGATCAGTTTGTTGGCGGTACATCAAAGGGAGGCAATGCGCAGTACGTGCTCAGTCTGGACGGGGAATTTGTACCATACAACACCGTACAGATTATAGCGAGTTTTTAGAATTTATTTTGCATGGAGTGGACCCAGGAAAACGTTCTGCTTCTCTTGAATTTAAATAAACAGCGTGATATCTTAAGAGAACAAAACGGTTGCGTCCTCGCGAATTTACTAGATCAGTGGCGAACAGCGCCTCGTGCGAACAGCGCCTCGTGCGTCCAGCATTCGTGTATACAAAATGCGTCGCACGTGCTCAGATCTGTACCCGCCTTAAGACGTTTCGTTTGGTTTTCTCGTACTTATTACTAATAATATTAAAGCCATATAAATAAATGAAATAGTTCTCAAACTTAAAATAAAACATTTTCTTTTTAAAATTGGCCCCTATACCGTTGAGGAATTATTTTTATATTTACTAAATTACCGTGTCATATTTATGATTTTATAAATTTCACCTGCAGCCGGCATTGCAGCGGTAATCTATGTGTAATCAGCTATTGGGATTTTAAACTTTAATATGAACAAAAAATAGATATTCTATTTTATAGAAAAATAATAGCAAAATTACATAGGACTATTTTCCTGTTTATAAAGGTCATCATGCCATAATTTAGTAAATTGCTATTAATATTTTAAAAAGAAAAAAATTAAGAACGGGTATGAATAAAAAATACACAAAAAGGTAGCACCTAATTCTGACAGCTGTCAAGATGTAACTAAGAAGGGACGAAAAGATAAATTAAATAAAGGTGGGAAACCTTTTTACTCAATATTTAGAAAAATTTAAAATGGGCAAAATTTTAACACACTTTGGCTGAGAGAACTCTTGTCCCAAATTTCCGTCAAATAATTGAATATAAATGCGTTTTGAAGCTTTATAAAATTATCATGGACTGTCACGGAAACAAGTGTTTTTTTGGATTTGAGATAATAGTAATATGAATATTTAAGGTTAATGTTTGTTTGGTGCAAAACAGATTTAAGTGATATATTGATCTAGACTGCCATCTTTTGGTGAGTAGAAATACTATGTGAAGAATTCCTGCAGTTTGGCGAGAGCAAAACAGGTACAAGCATCACTTGTACCCTTTTTATTCCAAAATGAACTTATACCCCTTTTATTCTAAGGCTCTCATCTGAATTACTACTTAAATTTTTATAACAAATTAAAGAAAAAATAACGGTTCTAGAAGTATCTGCAGTTTTGTGGGTTAACTCTCAAGAATTCAATTTGTTTCTATTTAAAATTTATAATTCTCTCTATATAAAGCGCTTGAATTCCGATTATTACCTGATCATTATTATCATTCTCTTATCACATCCTTTGTTTACAGCTTCTATTTAAAAAATTATAGATATTAGCAATCTGCTTATCAAAAAGGGAAGCTCAACTGATTCACTGCCGCAAAATATGCGTAATTTGTCCACCTTTCACCAGATCATTGTATACAGGATGTCTAAATAGGGAAAACACATAAGGTCAACGTTCAAATTCAAACGAATTTAATTTATTTTGTGGTTTTATTATTTTATTTATCACACTGTCCAACAGAAATCAATAAAAAAATATCAAGATACAGGAAAGCAAACTATTTTTTACATTTTTTTCTATGTATCAACATTAATGGTATACCAAAGTTTTATTTAAGTTTGGTTAACTTTTATCAATTATGATTTATAAAAGTATGGAAGAAATAAATGAGAAGATACATAATTATAAATTATTGTGTATATTAACTTATTTTTATTGGATAAGTAATTTGCATTTCAGGTTAATCTATTTTAGAATAGTTTTACTAATCTAAACCATTAT